TAGATTCCTTTAAGCTGCTCAAGGCTTCCGCTGCTGCCTCTTCTGTCTATGGCCCTGGGCAGAACTTCATTTCCCCAGTTCATTTTCTGGGAGATTGAGCAGAAATACTAAAGTCACTGGGATGTGCTTTTTGCTGCTGGTTCCCATGGGCCCTGAGCCAGACCACCTTTCTCCGGGCCTTTCTACCAGGTCTCGTGTGTAGCATGTGAGGGGCACAGTGTGAAATCTGTTTCTGTGTGGCCTCAGTGCCCCTTACTGCCACACCCTGCACGAGGTCTTATTAATATTTGAATTTAAATATGCAAGACGCAACTGCGCTTTCCTTCTGCCAGTAATTCTTGACTCGTGGTATAAGCGTCTTTCAAAAAGAGCCTCTGACTCTAGGAAAGGATGTCGCACTGACAGCTGGTCGTGGTCAGCTGCCTGCTGACGCTGCTGTGTGACAGCGGAGTGCCTTTTGACTGGGAGGCGTGGGAGGGCTCCAAGCACAGGGGTGATTGATGGGAGCAGGGGAGCTCTGGAAACAGTGCCCTGTTTCTAACCACCTGAACGTGACGGAGTTTCCCTCTCATGATGCCGTGATGGAAATGTCCTTTCTGAACGAGTGCCAGAAGGATATGAAATCATGTGACTCTTCTGTTCCATGGACAGTGGCACTGGACCGAGCTCAGAGCCCAGGCACACAGCCTGCTACGGGCAGGCCTCTGTTTTGTGTTGAGCTTGTATTCAGTGCTCACACTGAATGGTGGCATGTTCCTATTCCATAAGATTGACAGTGTTGGATCTGTCAAAATGGCATTTCACAGGGAAACAGACACGTGTGCACTCAGCTCTTGGGAGAACAAAGCTTTCACATATACTAAGAAGTGGTTTCCAAGAATGGAGCTTAATGTGCTCTGCTGCCCATAATTCCTCACATCAGGGCCGCTTTGCCTGAGTGGACACTGTAGTCTGGTTGCAGGCTAAGCCCCTGGATGAGGCTGCACACTGGGGGTGGCAGCAGTTTCCCCCCGAGACTGGCCTGTGCTGGGGAGGACGAACCCCGTGGCCTGGGGCTGGGAGTCTGCTTTATGGACACCACCTCATAGCCACGGGGGTACACCGATTCCATCCCCTCCCCTCCCCTCCCCTCCCCTCCCCTCCCCTCCCCTCCCCTCCCCTCCCCTCCTCTTCCCTCCCCTCCCCAGACTTGAAAGCAGTCCTTTTCTAAAATTGCCATTAATGATGAAAAGAAAGAATTCAACTCAAGAGTTACAGGGGACAGTATCTAGTGCATTTTTCTGAGTAAAATATTACTATGATATCGGATTTTGTGGAAATGGAAATGTTTTGGTCAAGGCACCTAAGGTTACCACTTTTCCTTGGTAACACAGTGGGGGGTGCATTGTGTGCAAAGTTATTTAAATACATAGACCATTGCTGTGTGATTTTATGATTAGTTTTTTTAAATACTTGATTTGATGGGGAAATGTGGGGGATAATTAGAGTTAATCAACTTAAATATAGCTGCCATGTGTCTAGTTTGGTTGGATAACATTTTGAATTTGAATGCGTGTTTTCCCTGCTTCATGCAGGAAGAGAAGGGCTCAGTCAGGACTCTGGTCATCATGTGGTCGAGCTCACACCCATGAGACTTGCTCACTCGTGTCATCATTGATCTTCCAAAGCGTCCGCAGGACACGAGGTTCTCTTTTGTCATTTGGTCTTTGGTCTCTGCTCTACCACAGAAGGGACACTGGTGGCCTGAGTCCGCACTCGGGCCCTCCCCTGGGACTGTGCCGACTGTGAAAACCACCACAGGATCAGCCGCGCTGCATGCTCTCCAGAGCCGAGCACAGAGTGGACCCTCCGTGGTGATGACACCAGCAAGAAGCCATCTCCTGAGTCTCCCCGTTACTTAGCAACACCCGGGCCGGGTGTGGAAGCTTTAATTGCATAGGATACAAGTTAGGGTCTGAGCGAAGGCCTTCATCCCATCTGTAATCTATGCAATGCCTTACTTATGATTTAGATTTCCAGAGAAATAGGCATAATTTCTCTTCAAAATGAAAGTATGAGAATACATTAACTTAAAGTCAACAATTTGAGAAAAAGATGATCAAGTACCATGTTTTCCAACCAGTTATTGGTATAACAATGTAAACATGGAAAAACAGAAAAATGTTATAATTTTTTAAAAAACTATGTACTTAAAAAACACACCCTTTTTATAAAAACTATTCTATTTTACTGTAATTCTGTTCCACTAAATGCAATGTAGGTCCCGGTGCTGCCCTTGAGTGGCACATGCCCTGGGCCCGAGGTGAACTGTGAATGAACCTCCTGCTGCTGTCAGGACAGGAAGGTCTGCTCACACAATAAACGTCTCTTCTTTAGAACTGTGGTTGGTCATCCAGCTCTTACACTCAGGAAGGCAGAGCGTCCGAGCTCAAAGTCCATGCCTTCGCCTGGCAGAAGCAGCAGAGCCCCCAGGAGAGCTTTGCTGACCCTCGAGGCTGGTGGCCGAGCTGGGTCCGGCGGCAACAGTTTTCTCGAGTCAGGATGGCGCCCAGGCCTCTGCTAGGTGCCCAGCCTTGCAGGCTGCCCGGGCAGGGTCTGGCAGGCGAGCTGCCCAGCAGCACTAACCATGATGGAAAGGACAGCAGATTTGGAGTTTGAAGATGTGGTCCCTTGTGGCAGGTTCTCATTGGACACTGCAAGCGAGTGTAGTGAGTGCCCTTGCTGAGCTGGAGGTCGTGGGTGGGGACCTTGTGGCTGTGCGAACACACAGAGGGCACCTAAGGTGTCGGCAAAGGGGCTTCATGGTCAGGAAACGCGTCTGCAAGATGATGTTTAAATTGAAACCTGCAGAATAAGAAGGAGTTATCCATGGAGGGGGAGGGAGATGAGGATGGAGGGAAACAAGAGCTACTGTACCTAATTTAGGGAGTCATGTGAACTTCTGTGGCCAGAGCCATGGCAAGGAGAGAATTTCCAGAGAGGGGTCTGAGTTTGATCCCAGGCCACAAGAGGGCCCCTGAGGGGTTTTAAACTGGGTGTCAACATGAATTTTTTTCTTGTAATAATTTTTTAATTGACTTACAGCAGATGTAGACACGAGTACATAAACATGCACCTTGATAGGTTTTCAAAGTGAACACATTTGTGTACCCGTCACCCAGAAGCCAGGGTTGGGGGCTATGGGGTTGGAGCTCGGAGGGCAGCACCCCAGTTTCCTGTGCTGAGTTTCCTCACGCTGCAGAGGACATCTTTCTCCAGTGAACCTTTGCAATCCAGACGGTTTGGGCCTGGGAGAAAGGCAGTCGCCACACGTGTTGGAAGACCTCGTGCCCTGTCCTGTGGTACATAGCCTAAGGCCAATCAAAGCTGATGACAATCAGACAGCAGGCAGAGGTGGCTCTGTGGAGGCTTTGAGTCTTTGCCTGATCTCCTTCTGGGCCTGGGGCTAGGAAAAGCAGACTCTGGTGCATATCTTGGTCCTTTCAAAAGGCAGCCAGCCCCAGAAGAGGGAGCCACAAACTGTGGATTGCTGACAACTCCAAACAGGGTGCTCAGGGCCAGTCAGAAACAGTGTCTGATATTGTCCCACACTAGAGCCTGGGAGTTGTAACAGATCCACCTAACACACAGACACAAACCCAAATAGGCAGCCAAAATGCAGAGGCAAAAAACAACAAAACAAAACAAAACAAAACAAAACCTGTAAATGAGAAAAAGATAAATGAAATGTAGATATGAAATTTATCTAATATAGAGATATAGAGTTCAGAATAATGATGGTAAAGATGCTCAACAGCATGAGAAAAGATATAGTAACTATGAAAAACAAACAAACACGGAAGAATGGCATAGCACTAATAAAGAACACCCTGGAAGGAATACACAGCAGATTAGGGGAATCTGAGAATCAGATTAGTGTATTAGGAGACAGGGTAGAAAAAAAGCACTCTTTCAGAGAATCAAAAAGAAAAAAAAAAAACAATGAAAAAACAGGAGGGCAGCTTAAGGGAACTGTGGGACAACATGAAATGTAACAATATTCACATAGTAGGTATGCCAAAAGGGGAAGAAAGTGATCAAGGGATAGAGAACGTGTTTGAAGAAATAATGGCAGAAAAATCTACCTAACCTGGTAAAGGAAAAAGTCACACAATTTCAGGAGGCACAGAGAGTCCCAAGCAAGAGGGACACAAATAGGCCCACACCCAGACACATCATAATTAAAATGACTAAAAATAAAGACAAAGAGAATCTGAAAGGTAGTAAGAGAAAAGTAAACTGTTACCTACAAAGGAGCTCCCATAAGGCTGACACCTGATTTCTCATAAGAAACTACAGGCCAGAAGGGAATGTCATGAAGTGCTCAAGGTGATGGAAAGCAAGGATCTGAAACCAAGATTACTATATCCAGCAAGGCTATCATTCAAAATAGATGGTGAAATTAAGAGCTTCCCAGACAAAAAAGGCTAAAGGCGTTTGTCACCACCAAGTCAACACTACAAGAAATGCTAAAGAGACTGCAATAATGAGAAGACACACACACACACACACACATATATACACATATATATATATATATATATAGAGAGAGAGAGAGAGAGAGAGAGAGAGAGAGAGAGATAGGCATACAGAATTAAAATGGCAATAAATAAGTACCTCAATAATAACCTTAAGTTAAATGTATTAAATGCTCCAATCAAAAGGCATGGATGAGAGTGAAGGGATGTATGGGGTTCTCCAGCCATGACCAGCACGGCTAGAGAGCAAATGAATCCTGAATAGGGGCGACTGGGGATTGAGGAAAAGAAAGAGACAGGCGCAGAGACAGTGGGTAAAGCTGGGACCAGGTGGGACACTGTTCTCAGATGGAGAGACAGTGACCCAGAACTACTTCAGCACATTTATTATGTACAGCATGATACCAGGAAGTTTTACTAAAGTTTAAGACAAAGGAAATTATGCGAAATCATGCTTAAAGATCAAGCTGCAATTCTTCATCCTTTTTTTTTCCAGATTTAGTTTTTTATTAGGTGCATGTATCTCAAACACAGATTATGATTACAGATGTTCATCTGTGGGTAAGGTGCTTAAGCACTGATTTTGAAACAATTCTGTATTTAACAGGTCAATATCCAGTAATTTAAATATTATTTCTCAGAATCTGAACTACTGTCAAGAAATACTCAAATGAGATGAACATGGTGCTTTTTACTTCAATCTTAACACAATTGTCAATTAATCCTCCTGGCGGAGAGAGTAAGGCTTGTGTCGACAGACTAGCATTCCTGCTGGGCCTAAAATTCTCCGATTACTGGGACAGATTTTATGTCAGGTCCCAGGTAGGAATTAATTTCCATGAACTACAGCACTTCTTCAAGACAGTTCTAGGACAACCAGCTTCCTGAGGCAGAAACAACTGGTTTCACAGACACCGTTAGCAGGTTAAAAAAAATTAAAATCAAGTGATGTGTTGTTTTACATTGATTTTAAGAATAAAACTCATTTAAGAGATACATGTTTACCCTTTACATATAGAATGATTGTGTAAATTAGATTTCAGTTGAAAGAACAATTTAGCAGTTCAGATAAAACGCGTAGAAACATACTGAAAATAAAACCAGATGTACAGTAAGAAACAGATTCTATGCAACTTCCATTTATCCTTCAGCCATAGTTCCAATGATTATATTTTCTGATCCAAAATCAGAACACATGGTTCGCGAAGGGTTTTTCTGTGCTACCAGGGGTGTAAGAGGCAGCCTGAGTGATGCTTTTACTTCTGTCGTGCTGGGTGCTGAAACCTCCAAGCATGTTCATGGTTTAGCCAAAGTGATAGCACATATGAAATCTGGATTGTTCCAGGCTTTCCAGTGAATATGGCCACCAAGTCACAGTAACCGTGACCGAGAGCTCTCCCTACACTCACTCCACCAGGAAGGAACGGTGACTCCTTTCTTCAGCACCTCCTTCAGGAAGTTAGGGGAGGAGGGCGGGAGATCAAACACCAATGATTGAAGTCCCATCACTGCCAAAGGTCCTATGAGATAACTTCACTACCTACCTCTTCCCAAGATGTTGGGGACAAAGGGAGTTGCAGTGCTACTCCAGTGACAATTTAGCGATCCTTCAAATGTAAGATTCAGCCCCAATTGCACCAGACCATGACCTCGCAGTGGGCCTGTGCCGAAGAAATCCTTGTGTTGGACAAATGCTACTATGAACAATTAGAAAATACGTCAGCAATCAAGGACAAGCAGACAGAAAATGTGTCAAGCTGGACTCACATCAAATTTCCTGATTAGTTTATTTCTCCCAATCCGTTTTCTTCGGAACTGCTTTTAAGCCAGGGCCCATGGTGGGAGGGGTAGGGCATTCAGCAGGAAAGCTCAGAAGGGTGCTACCCCACTTCAAAAATACGTTTGCTTAAAAACACTATTATCCAGTGATTAGCAATTAAGAATGAAAAATTAACTACTTAGTAGTTAAACTTTATGAATTATCAAAAGTTATGGCCTGGGATCAGCAGCGTTACAAAGATAAATCATACTGCATTTCTTAAAGATTTTTCTGAATGCTTAGCGGGTCTCTTTCAGTGTTAATTGCACTTAAAACATTTGTTTTTTCATTTAATCTCTGAAAGCTGGTCATTGTTTTCTTCATTTATAAAGAGGAAAGGGTCCGTTTATCATGTGCTCCAAAGCTCTCTGCATTGGATCAAGATTCCGTGCAGGTCTGTGTGGCGGGTGCAGGGGCGTGGAGGACTGAGGTCGTGACCTTCAGAGCTTGGACTGCAGTGGCTTCAGGTGCTTGTAGAAAGATTCATGGACCTCGGCTTTGTTGAGCGGGGAGGTCTTGGCCCACTTGAACAGGTTCTCATACACGTTGCCATTGTAGCGGCCCAGCACGGAGCCCAGCGACACATCCTGGAAATCAAACGCATCGATGAGCGTAACAGCGTCCGGGCGGATCACGGTCAGTAGCTCCTTGATGCGCTGGTGCACCTGGGTGATCTGAGAGTCTGTCAGGATGTTCTCCTGAAGAAAATCCCCTGCCTTCTGACTGGTCCCGTACAGAGAATACAAGAGGCACAAATTCCTCAAGACGGCCTGGATGGACTTATCTTGAATTTTGAGGAGCTGCTCTGAAAAGACCTTAACTGTCACATAGTGGCAGTGTGCCTCACTAGCTCACACGAGGTCCATGGAAGTCAGGTTCCACGCGACCTCCTTGCTTTTTCTGTGACTCACTTCAGTTTGAAGGTTTTTGGCAGCGATTTCTACTAATCTGGCCGCCCGGAGCTGATAGGCTTTGGTGAGGCTGTGGGGGCTGTCGATGTCCACCACGGTGGGCCACACGGCCACCTGCTGCGGCTGGATGCGCTGACTGGGCAGGTCATTCAAGTAGGACACCATGCCACACACCAGCTTTCCCAAGTGCACCTGGTTGTAACTTTTCATCAGAAACCGGGCGGTCTGCAGCATCATGACGGTGTTTTCTCCCTCGAAGGTGCAGGTCGGGGTGAAGGTGACGTAGATGTTTGGGAGGCCGCTGCAGTGAGAGTAGCCTTGCCCGCCACAGGCCATCCGACAGGCTTCGATGGCAGTGTTAGTTGTCCAGGAGGTGAAAGCCTTCAGCCCGGCGGTGAGGGCATGAAGGTCGGGCAGCTCACTCAGGTCCCCTTGGCCAATGTCTTCATTAATGCGACGATAGGTCTCCTTCATGTAGGCGCCTACAAAATGGAAGGCATAGGCAGTGGCCAGCAGTGGGAAGAGTTTATATTGCTGGGTTTGAAAATCCAAAATCTGTGGTTCTGGTTCACCCGGCTTGATTTCCGACTGGTGCCTCACGGCGCTGTATCGGACGGCAATGGTGCAGGCCTTCGCCAGGCTCCAAGCAGCTTCTCCCACGTGGAAGGACCTGATGGACACCATGGTCCCGTAGGTCAGCTTGTTACTCACGGCTTTCACGTGGGTGCCACCAGGCTTCACCTGGGCGTACTTCACCAGCATGTTTTCTCTGGGGATACGATAATGGTCCATCTTCAGGTAGCCATTATCCATCTCATCATAGCCGAATTTGGGGTCAGTGTCGCCAACAGTGATCCCTGGCAAAGGCTTGTGGGTTCCAATTTCACGAATAGGTACAATGAAGGCATGTAATCCATAGCATTTCCCCTGGGTGTAGAGCTGGGCTAGTACTATCACATGATTTGAAGTCTTTCCAAGTCCGCCAGGCCACCACTTGATGGAGGTCACAGTAGGACTATTGAGAATAAACTCCTGAGTTTCAGGGTCATATGTGGCTGTGGTTTCCAAGCCTCACAGATGAGTCCCATGGCCCATCTCTGCCTGGGCGTAAGTGCAATGACCTCCAGGTTCCAGGCGGGCATGAAGAAGCGCTCCTGCTGCTCCGCAGTCGCCTGGTGAAGCAAGGTGGGCAGGAACATGCCCAAGTGGAGATCCAGAGGCGAAGGCCCTGGATGCACAAAGTTTTTAAACCACATGATTTCATCAGGGTCTGAGATGCCAAACTCCCTCATCTTCTTCACCAAGGTGGCACTCTTCCTAACAGCCACCTCGTACCGCTGGCTGCAAGTGAGGAAGTTCAAGTCCTCATGCTTGAAGTCTGGGTCGTTCAGAATCAGGTTCTCGATCTCTCGGCGTCGGCAGGTGTCCTCCGGGCTGCCGTCCAAGATGTGTGTGAGCAGCTCGGGGCTGAAGCTGGCGGAGGCCCGCTCCCGGCGCAGGTCCTGATTCATGGTGACAACCATTGGGAGCAGCAGAGGCCAAGGCGGCGTCGACGAAGATTGTCAGAATCTCCGGCCTGCAATTCTTCATCCTTGTGGCTTTTTGTAATCATCAGGCCTAACTGGACTCTGATAATTGCATCTGCCCCTGGTGCCTGGCTGAACTTAGATAATGACACCCACCCCCCGGCACCTGAGCTATAGGTTAGGACTGACAACATTCTTGCCTTTTGGGAAGGTATGTTTTCCAGGAGATGGCTTTGCCGATGCCGCTGGACTCAGCCAACGACCCTCGCTCAGGTGCTCTTCCAGGCGCTCTCTACATCATGGAAAAAAAGTTTACAGGAAAATGGAAATAAAAAACAAAGCTGGAGTAGCAATACTCATATCTAACAAAATAGATTTTAAAATGAAGGCCATCACAAGAGACAACAAAGGTCACGACATAATATTAAAGGGATCCAACAAGAGGATATAACCCTTTTAAACATATGTGCACCCAACATAGGAGCATATATATATATATATATACTTCTAGAGGACTTAAGGGACAGAGGGAGAACAATACAGTCATAGTAGGAGACTTTAACACCCCACTGACTTCACTGGATAGATCTTCCAGACAAAAAAAATTAACAAAACTGTCATTTTTCTCAGATAACAGGATATTGTACATAGAAAACCCTATAAATTACACCAAAAAACTACAAGATTTAATAAATGAATTCAGCAATGTAGCAGGATACAAAATTAACACCCAGAAATCAATGGCATTTTTATACACCAATAATGAATTCTCAGAAAGAGAAACTAAGCAAACAATCTCATTTACCATTGCAACAAAAAAAAAATAAGATACAAACTTAACCAAGGAGGTAGAAGACATATCAGAAAACTACAGGGCATTGGAAAAAAGAGATAGAGGAAGATATAAACAAATGGAAGAATATATCGTGTTCATGGATTGGCAGAATTAACATCATTAAAATATCCATACTACCCAAAGCAATCTAAAGATTTAATGCGATACCTATTAAAATACCTATAGCACATTTCACAGATCTAGGAGAAATACTCCAAAAATGTATATAGAACCAAAAAAGACCCCAAATAGCCACAGCAATCTTGAGAAAGAAGAACAAAGTTGAAGGTATCACAATAACAGATATGAAGTTATACTACAAAGCCACCATAATCAAAACAGCCTGGTATTGGCACAAAAACAGGCATATAGATCAATGGAACAGAACAGAAACCCCAGAAATTGACCCAAGCCATTATGCTCAATAATATTTGACAAAGGAGGCAAGAGTATACAGTCTCTTTAATAAATGATGTTGGGAAAATTGTACAGACACATGCAAAAAAATGAAACTAGACCACCAACTTACACCATAACAAGAATAAACTCAAAATGGATAAAAGACATAAAAGTAAGTCAGGAAACCATAAAAAATCCTAGAAGAAACCACAGGCAACAAAATCTCAGTCATTTCTCATAACAATATGTTTATAGATACATCTCTTAAGGCAAAGGAAACTCGGGAGAAAATAAACAAATGGGACTACATCAAAATAAAAAGCTTCTGCACAGCAAAAGAAACCAACAAAATGAAAAGGGAGCCCACTTCATGAGAACATATTTGGCAATGATACATCTGATAAATGATTAATACCCAAAATATATAAGGAACTCATAAAACTTAACAAAATGAAGACAAAACAATCTAATTTAAAAAATGGGCAAAGGACATAGACACTTCTCCAAAGAGGACATACAGATGTCCAAGAGACATATGAAAAATGCTCCAAGTCACTGATAATGAGAGAGATGCAAATTAAAATAACAAGGAGGCATCAGCTCACACCTGTCAGGATGGCTACCATCAACAAATCAACAAATGACAAGTGCTGGGGAGGATGTGGAGAAAAGGGAGCCCTAGTACACTGCTGGTGGGAATGCAAACTGGTGCAGACATTATGGAAAACAGTATGGAGTTTTCTCAGAAAATTAAATGTGGAACAGCCATTTAACCCAGTGATTTCACTTCTAGGAATATATCCTAAGAAACCTGAAACATCAATCAGAAAGAATATATGTATCCCTATATTCATAGCAGCATTATTTATAATAGCTAAGATCTGGAAACAGTCCAAGTGTCCATCAGTACATGAATGGATAAAAAAGCTGTAGAACATATACACAATGGAATACTATGCAGCAATAAAAAAGGATCTCTTATTCTTTGAGACAGCATGGAGAGACCTGGAGAGGATTATAAGTGAAATAAGTCAGAGAAAGACAAGTATCACATGATCTCACTTATTGTGAAATCTAAAGAACAAAATAAAGTGACAAACAAAATAGAAACAGAGACAATGAAGCATGCCACAGAATAATATATTTCAGAGGGAAGGGATGGGTGTGGGAAGAGATTAAACAAATAATTTACATGCATATATGCATAACCCATGGACACAGACAATAGGGTAGTGAAAGCCTGGGGTGGGTGGTGGCAGTGGGCTCAAAGGGGTCAAGGGGGAATAGGAAGACATACGTAATACTTTCAATAATAAAGATTTAATTTAAGAAAAAAAAGACATCAGGGAACACACATCAAGGAAGGCATACTTTGTAAAATTAGTTTGGGAAAGTCACAGACCCTCAACAAGCCAAAATTGCCAATCCCGGAGAAGTGGGAGAATCAGATTTCCAGAGTTAACATAATATAATACCCAGAATGTTCATTTGTCAACAAAGAGTTAAAAAAAACACACATACAGTCACAGGGAAAAAGATAATTTGGAAGAAACTATATCTGAGGCAGCCCAGATATTGGAATTATTGGACAAAGACATTGAATCAGCTGTTTTAATATGCTCAATGAGCTAAAGGAGGTCATGGACAGAGAACTAAAGTAAATCAAGGAAATAGCATATGAGCAAAATAAAAATATTTAAAAAACAAGAAATTATAGGTAGGAGCCAAACAAATTCTGGAGCTGAAAAGTACACTATTATGAGCATTTACTAGAAGGATTAAACAGCAGATTTGAGTAGGCAGAAAAAAGAATCAGAGAAATGAAGATTAAGACAGTTGAAATTATCTACTCTGAGGTCCAGAGTCTATGGAACCTTGGGGCACTATCAATGTACCAACATATGCATCATAGATGTCCTAGAAGAAGAAAAGTGAAGGAAAAGAATTTGAGAGAATAATGGTGAAAAACTTCCCAAATCTGTTGAAGGACATGAATCTGCATATCCAAAAAGTTTAATGAACTCAAAACAAGATAAATTCAAAGAAATTCACACCAAAACAGTTGAATTGTTGAAGACAGAATTTTAAAAGCAGCAGTAGAGAAGCAATTTATCACATAAGGGATCCTCCTAAGATTAAGAGCCAAATTCTCATCAGAAGCCAGAAGATAGTGAAATGACATATTTATGTGCTTAACACAAACAATTCTATATCTACAAACTCTCTTTGAACAATGAAGGAGAAATGAAGATATTCCTAGATAAAAACCGAAGGGGTTCATTACCAGTAGACCTGCCCTACAAAAAAATGCTAAATAGTTCAGGCTGAAAGGAAAAACACTAGACAGTAACTCAAAGCAATAAGAAGAAACATTGTTCAAGGTAACAACATCAGTAAATATAAAAGCCAAGTATTAACTTTCTTTAACCTCTTTTTTACCTATATGATTTAAAGGGAAATACTTAAAATAATAATTAAAATTTTGTGCTAATGAGCACAAAATAGGAGGAATCGACAATAGTATAGTGACACCAGCCCTCTTTTGGTTACTATTTGCATGGAATATCTTATTCTGTCCTTCCACTTTCAACCTCTTTGTGTCTTTGTATCTGAAGTGAGTCTCTTGTTGACAACATATAGATTGATCAGGTTTATTTTTCCCTCCGATCTGTCAATCTCTGCATTTTAACAGGAGAGTTTAACCCATTCTATATAATAAAAGCCTAATATACCAAGTGTCAGACCCTTCGACCAGTTGCTATGATGCACACTGACCACCAGGGGGCAGACACTCTGACCGGTAGGTTAGCTGGGGTCTGGCTGATCGGGACTGGGCGAGATGGGCCGGACACGCCCTGGAGCCCTCCTGCAGTCCCTCCCCAGCCCCGATTGTGCACCGGTGGGGGTCCCTAGGCCTGGCCTGTGCCCTCTTGCAATCCAGGACCCCTTGGGGGATGTTGGAGAGCAGGTTTCGGCCTGATCCCTGCAGGCCAGTGCACCAGGCCTCTAGTTTACATATAAAGTAAATACTGCTAAAAAATGATTTGCTTCTGCCCTGGCTGGTTTGGCTCAGTGGATAGAGTATCAGCCTGGGGACTGAAGGGTCCCAGGTTCGATTCCGGTCAAGGGCACAAGCCTGGGTTGCGGGCTCAATCCCCAGTAGGGGGCATGCAGGAGGCAGCCAATCAATGATTCTCATCATTGATGTTTCTCTCTCTCTCTCTTTCTCTCCCTTCCTCTTTGAAATCAATAAATATATATTTTTAAAAGAATTATAAAAAAATGATTTGCTTCTGCCATTTAGCTATTTGTTTTGTCATACAGTTTGTTCAATTCTTCCATTACTGAGTTAAATTTTTTTTAATTAAATTAAATCTTTATTGTTCAGATTATTACAGTTGTTCCTCTTTTTTCCCCCCATAGCTCCCCTCCACCTGGTTTCCTTCCCACCCTCCGCCCTCAACCCCCCGCCCCCCGTCCTCATCCATAGGTCCATGATTTTTGTCCAATCTCTTCCCGCATCTCCCACACCCTTTCCCCCCGCCCCAAGAATAGTCAGTCCATTCCCTTTCAATGCCCCTGATTCTATTATAATCACCAGTTTATTCTGTTCATCAGATTATTTATTCACTTGATTTTTAGATTTGCTTGTTGATAAATGTGTATTTGTTGTTCATAATTTGTATCGTTACCTTTTTCTTCTTCTTCCTCTTCTTAAAAGATACCTTTCAGCATTTCATATAATACTGGTTTGGTGGTGATGAACCCCTTCAGCTTTTCCTTATTTGTGAAGCTCTTTATCTGACCTTCAATTCTGAATGATAGCTTTGCTGGATAAAGTAATCTTGGTTGTAGGTTCTTGGTATTCATCACTTTGAATATTTCTTGCCACTCCCTTCTGGCCTGCATAGTTTCTGTTGAGAAATCAGCTGACAGTTATATGGGTACTCCCTTGTAAGTAACTGACTGTCTTTCTCTTGCTGCTTTTAAGATTCTCTTTGTCTTTTGCCCTTGACATTTTAATTATGATGTGTCTTGGTGTGGTCCTCTTTGGATTC